ACATGGTGTTCGTTATGGACAAACTGTAACTAGCACAGAAGTCCAATAACTGAACACCGCTCGGGTCCAGGTCGGGGGGGCCGTTCCTCCCAATCACGCCCTTCCAGGTGTCACTGTCGCTGCCCACTAGAGCGTTGAAGTCCCCCAGTAGAACGACGGAGTCCCCAGTCGGAGCACTTTCCAGCACTCCTCCCAGAGACCCCAAGAAGGCCGGGTACTCTGCACTGCCGTTCGGCCCGTAGGCACACACGACAGTGAGAGACCTATCCCCGACCCGTAGGCGCAGGGAAACGACCCTCTCGTTCACCGGGGTAAACTCCAGCACATGGCGGCTGAGCTGGGGGGCTATAAGCAAACCCACACCAGCCCGTCGCCTCTCACCATGGGCAACTCCAGAGTGGTGAAGAGTCCATCCTCTCTCAAGGAGTGTGGTTCCAGAGCCCAAGCCATGCGTAGAGGTGATCCCGACTATCTCTAGTCGGAACCTCTCAACCTCACGCACGATCTCAGGCTCCTTCCCCGCCAGCGAGGTGATGTTCCACGTCCCTAAGGCTAGTTTCCGTGTCCAGGGATCGGGTCGTCGAGGCCCCCGCCTTTGACTGCCGCCCGATCCTCTCTGCACCGGCCCCTTACGGCTCTTCCTGCAGGTGGTGAGCCCACGGGAAGGCGGTCCCACGTCGCTCCTTCGGGCTGAGCCCGGCCGGACCCCGTGGGGAGAGGCCCGGCCACCAGGCGCTCGCATACGAGCCCCAACCCCGGGCCTGGCTCCAGGGTGGGGCCCCGGCTGCGCCATACCGGGCGACGTCACAGTCCTTGTTTTATTGTGCATCATAAGGGGTTTTTGAACCGCTCTTAGTCTGACCCGTCGCCTAGGACCTGTTTGCCTTGGGAGACCCTACCAGGGGCATATAGCCCCAGACAACATAGCTCCTAGGGTCATTCGGGTACTCAAACCCCTCCACCACGTTAAGGTGGCAGTTCAAGGAGGGGGGTAATGATAATGAAGCAATAATTCAAAATCCAATTCAAAAGGATAAAATCGTCAGTTAAACATTTCATCACAATGATTCCGAAATCACAGAATTTGTAGAAATTATTACCTGTCAATAGAGTTACACACAGCGATTGTGCGGGCAGTCAACCTACAGACTCCCCGAACTTTTCTGCTCTTTTTCCTTATATACCCACGGCCGCATTAACAATAGGGCTAGGCGGGGCTAAAGCCCCGGGGCCCGAGCAAAGAGGGGGCCCGTGATTGGCTGTGGAGTAGATACTAGCCATCTGATTGCCAAAGCCTTACCACGCAACGCCCCCCACAAATTAGCCCTGTTATTTAGTGGCGCTTTGCCGTATATTCCATGCATTATCATGGAATCATTATCATTAATATTATAGTGACCGTTCGCAAAGACCCGCCTTTTTTAGTTACTGTGTGACAAGCCAGGCGTCTCTCACACGAGTCATGCACATCATGTTCTCACTCAAAATACATCGCGGGGCAAAGACTAACGTTACACCGAGTGACTACGAGAGAGAAAGTTCAGAGCAGCTTACTGTTGATATGAAACAAAGTCTCAACTTTCAAATATTGTCATTTAAACAATACCGTTTTCAAGTTCAAGTCCACCGACGTTAATCTACTGACAGCTTTGTTGTCGGACAAAATTGCGTATTCGGCGTTATGATTGGCCAGTTCGCCTGTCAATCAAACCCCCGTGGGCAGCAAGGAATGCTGAATTGAAACGTCACGTTTTAATTTGATATAACAAATACATTTATTCTATATTTAACTTGTGAACGTTAACCTGCTGCACGTAGGCCTATAGATGGCTGCCTGCGCCTTATTAGAATATACGCATCAACCAATCAATCGCATCCACTCTTCACTTCATTCTAGACTATTCTTAAAACACATGCGTCATCATCGACCCCACAAATTTTCGGTAAGTTTGATTATTAACTTGATGGATGTTGGATGTATGATGCTTTTTGTGTTTGATCAAACTCTATTTTCGCCTAAAGGGTTGGCGATAATATATCCGGTAGAAATATGTACATTTTCCTGCGCCATCATGATACAAGTTTATAATTTAAACGCGTTTTTAAACATTGTGGTTTGGATACAAATTATTTTAAACTGCTCAGGCACAGTAAGCAGCGGGAGAGAATTCATTTTGGTTTTGAGACCATGGTGAACTTGAGAGACGGTTTTGCACAGCCGCAGCACACTTGAGTTCCGATCCTGAGGTCTTAAAGTGACAGAAGCTGCTAATAAAGCTGCTGTCGCCATTTGTGCAATAATGTTAATCAAACATTAGAAATAAAGTTATTTACTGCCCTTGACTGAATCACTTTTGTAAAATTAATAAGAATGAATGTTGAATTGATAGTGAAAACTATGTATTATTTATTTGATTACTTTATACAATATAATATTATTCAGTGCTTTAAGTTTTTCAAGTAGGTCGATTTCTTATGTGCCTTTGTTCTATTGTTATTTGTGACTCTTGTCATCAGTAAGCTTGAGATTCTTTTCTTAAGCTAATATATTATTTTTTGTGATATTGAAATTGGTCACAAGAATTATGAAATTTGAGTGGCATAAAATTTTGATATGATAAAAAATCGTATTAAAAGTAATATAACTTAACTGTGAAGTATAGCATAGATGAATAAAATGACTCGTATAATGATAGAACATTTAGCTCATGTAGTTGGTGACCTAAAGTGGTGGTGGGGGGGCCCCGCAGAGCTCATAGCCCCGGGGCCCAGTGAGCTCTTAATGCGGCCCTGTATATACCCAGATAATTCAATTGTTACCAAATGGTGATGTCTGTCATTATAATTAGATTTTGGTTGTCTATTCAGGGGCTCACACTGTGAGGTCTGCCTGATTTTACATACAGGAGGTAGTTTGAATGAGGCTATTATGGGACACATCCCTTTTCTCACATTTCATAACTTCTTTTAGCTTTTCATCATAGTTGGGAGAATGAGACCATGTTACCAGGCGCATTGTGACACTTTAAAAGACACCAAACATGAGTAGTTACATTTTTGTACACACATAACATTGCATAAGGTTTCAGTGAATTTCAGGTGAGGAGGAGGAGGATGTGGGGGAGATAGTGTGGGTGAAGTGTGAACTGCACTGTGTGCTGCGTCTCCAAAGTTCCTGTTACATATGCAGGAGGGAGTTACATATTCAAGAGATAGTTCAAGTGTTAATTCCCAGGAGGGCCTTTTGTCACATTGAGGGGTCGACTAGACATACTGGCACCAGCCTTACAGCCTTTAAGGCTCAAGGAAGAAGAAGGTGGGAACCGGCGAACGATAAACGTGATTTTAATAAAAAAAATAAACACAAATAACAAAACGAAAGTAAAGCGGCAGTTGTCCGTGAAGGATACACTGCATCTAGTGTATCTTTTGATAGGGAACATCTTGGGTTACTTGACTGTAACCCTGTTCCCTGAAAAAGCAGGAATGAGATGCTGCTTCCCATTGCCGCACTGGTGGGCGTGTCTAGAGTCTAAAACGAGAATTTTAAAAAAGAAATAAAGAAGAAGAGGAGCTTGAGTTTGTTGAACCTACCTATTTGTTTGAAACGCAAGAGGTGTCTGCTCTCACATAAGCTTACGCTACTCCTACATCCTATGTCATACGTCGGGTCAGAGGTCACTCTTTAGCCGGAAACAGACTTGCACATGGCCGTTACCGGAAGCCAGTGATTATAGTTATAAATAAGTTATAAATATGGAAATTTTTCTTACAAAAATGCATCGCTTCGCTTCAGAAGGCCTTTATTAGCTCTCTGGAGATGTATAGATTACTTTTATAACAGATGGATGCACTTTTTTGGGCTTCAAAATCTCAGGTATACTATTCTCTTCATTATAAAGCTGTTATAAAGCTTGGAAGAGACAGAATATTTTTTTAATATAACTCCGACTGTGTTTGGCTAAGTGTGTCATATACACACTTAGGTTTGCTTAAGGGTCAGTAAATTACGTGTCACACTTTCAGGTGAACATACTTCAAATTTAATCGTTATCTCTGGATTAAACCTGAGTTGACAGAGAATGTTTATACCAAGCGTTGTGAGTCTCTGTTGAACCTGATTAAAACTAGGTTGGATTTATATGGATTTGTCAACTCTAAACCTACTCTGAATCTCAGTGTTTAACTTCATGCAACAGGCCTCTGATCTCCTGTTTACATTTTGCCATTGAAGTCTAAAAACACACACAGGCTTTCCAGACATAATGATTTTTATACTCTATATTATCTATATTTATATTCTATCCCCTAGCCCTAACCCTACTCCTAAACCCAACCATCACAGAAAACTTTCTGCATTTTTACATTTTCAAACAAACATATTTTAGTATAATTTATAAGCTGTTTTCCTCATGGGGTTCAAAAATGTCCCCACAAGTACAAGAATTTGCCATCTTTGTGGGGATTTTGTCCCCATAATGTAGGCAGGGTATATCTGAACCCCCCCATGAGGCCATGCACATATAACCTATGGCATAACTAATATTTGTCCAGGAACCATTAACAAAGATCATTAACTCAGAAAAAAATGAGGAAACCTTGATAACATTTTATTTGAACATTTTCTCTGAGAATAAACACAAACAGAAGAACATTTGATAACATGTTTTTTTATATATATAAATTAAACTACTCATAACTTAATGTGTAAAAAATTATATATACAATATTTTACTGTAATACATAAAAATAATCAATACAGCTTTTTAATGACTGTTTAATGAAAGTCCACACTGGCCACAACCTTCACACATGAAAATGAAGTTGAACACGTTTTACTGAGCACTCCTAAAAAGAATAAACAGAAATAAACATTATTCCATATTATATCATCATATTTAACACACACACACACACACACACACACACATAAATATATATATATTTTCGTCATTTTATCCTTTTTTCATTTTTAACATATGAAAGATGTTTAGCTCAAATTTTCAGTATCAATTGTAATGTCACTGATAAGACTCACCTGGTCTTATTTGCAATCCTCTTAATGATATTCTTGGTAAACAATGACTCTGGGTTTAAGCATCTTCGCCCTGCACCATTCTTCAGCAAGACACTGTTTAGACACAGTCAAGTTATTTTGAGTGAATACAGATAAAGCTATACTCACTTATGATAAAAAATCGCCTATATAGATCTTGAACAGTTAGATGAATAATCTATACATAGATAAATAACCAATGTACTTACACAACTTCCAGATGTCCACAAGATGGACTAACAGGGTGAATTTCCACCTTCTCTATCAGCTTTGGTTTCACCATTTTTACCCCAGGACCCCGGCATAAACATCTTTGGATTCCAGGCCCAGGCTGCCCTATAGAGGATGATAGAAATAAATGATGAAAATGATTAGACTGAAACAACAAAGCTACAGATATCTTTGAGTTAGTAAAATATTAAAATAAGCAAAAATAATATTACCTTCGATAGCAACAATAGCCAAACTGATAAAAACAAGTAGAGCGGCCACAGTCTTCATTGTTCAATCTCTTGATGGTCTTCACCTTGAACCAGTAGCTGATCAAATGTGAGTAAATGAGCAGAATTTCTTCATTTTATACAAGTCTAAGTCTAAGACATTCTGGGATTTCCCTTTTTGATGCTTTCAGAGTTCCAGTTACACTTCCTATTACCCAGTTTCTGGGAAATTAACAGAAACAAAGTTGCAGATGATATTGCAGATGATAAGTGTTTTAAGTGTTGTGTTATCATGTTTACATATCACATCATAAAATATAATAGTAGGTGGAGGGGGGAAGTAAAACAGTTTTGTGATTTAAAAAGTCACTCTTTGATAAACTCATATTGTGCATTATTGCTTTGTCTTCACTGTGTGTGTGTGTGTTTATGGACACACACACACACATCAGAAATATTGTAAAGACAAACCAATAATGCACAATATGAGTTTATCAAAGAATTTCTTTGTTTCTCTTATTATAAGTGAAATATTTCCGTTTATGTCTTCACACAACTGTCTTACTTGCTTTACTATTTTTATATCTTACATCTGATAAATGCTCAACATATTTTATTTATGAACTTCTAGTAATACAAAACTGCGACTTCTGATATAAACATGTCATCATTTTCTCGCCAGTCTAAAATGACACACTTTTGGCATGACTGCAGTGTCCTTTAGTGCTTTCACTTCCTGATAATAGGTTATTTTCTTATAAACTGCACACTTGAGATTTTCCAAGGTCTCTTCTGCAGAGGCCAAATTGAATGTACAGTATACTTCAGCCATTAAATATATTATTCAGCAATCAAGTCACATTTATTTTTATGGCACTTTATACAATAGAAATGGTTTCAAAGCAGCTTCACAGTATATACAAAAAACAGTAAAGTAACAGAATTAATGATTCAAAAAGCTGCTGTAACAAGATAATTATTCAGCTCAATTCAGTTCATTTCAATAACTGTCTTCATTAATAAAACAAGTTCAATTCTTCTTTCTTCAAATGACAAATTAAATATTTAATTCTGTAGTTACTGAGAGACTGAACAGTCAAAATCCACTGTGGATTTTGTCATCAAAACATATTCATTGTTTCATAGTAATACTCTTAAAGGTGCAGTGTGTGATCTAGCGGTTCGGTTGCGAGTTGCACTAATGGCTCTTAATATATAATATAATAATAGTAATCAGCTGATTGTCTCACAAACGTAACCAGTACATTTCTCCCCACATAGCAAACCCATAATACAGCGAGGGAGAAGAACCACATGAAACTATGCAACTATATATTTTTTCTAACAGGGTAGTAAAAGTTTAGCTGGCTAAATATGAGCTGTTACTGTGGCTGAGCTGGTTAAAGCGTAAAGCCTTGTTTAAACTCGACGCGTCCGCATGAGCCCAAAGGTGCGTGTGGCAAAAATGACATGATTGTAACAGCGCGCACGCCTCCGCATCCCCTAGACACCACTTACTACACACAATAGGCTTTTTTTCTCTGATTTTGAAAACTCTTCACGATGACTTAAAATGATTCCAAGATCGACTTGTCGACCGCGATCGACGGCTTGGTGATTCCTGTAAAGTTACTGTTTTACGGTCAAGAGTACTAATCAGCTGTCTCACGAACGTAACCAGCACATTTATCCCCACATAGCAAAGCCATAACACAGCGAGGGAGAAGAACTAAGTTACATGAAACAGTCCGACTACATATTTTACACCACTGACAAGGGAAAAGTCACTACTTTTCACTACTTCATAGAAGGGGGTGCCCGCGGTTATGTAGTCATAAATGTCTCATTCTAAGATAATAAAAACATTACGGCTTATTAAGTAAGTTCTTTATACACCACTGAAAACATAGTTATGGATGTCATATTGCATTTCTGTTAATAGATACTCAAAATTTTTACACATTGCACCTTTAACTTAAGTAAACATAACATCAATTATTATAATATTTTTTAATGGCTATATCACACACAGGTCTCCTCTGGATTAGAAAGGTTTGTAATTAAGGCGAGACACTACAGGTGAATAGGCTAAAAAATTTAACTTACAGATATCACCATGAAACTTTACCAGTTGATTACTCACATGAATTGGAGAAAAAAATGTATTGCAAGTTTTTTGTAATTTTTTGTTTAAATATGCTAATCAGGCTATATCTAATTAAATATGCGCTAATTTGCCTATATTTTGAAGTGACGTTTTTTGAAGATGAAAAAAACAAGGTTCAAAATTATTGTTGCATTTTGTTGATATATTCAAGGAAAAGACATTTTCAGAGGGGATTATGAATATCTCCTTTTGTTACCCTGTAAATCAGAAAATACTGCCAATAGTCTTAAAAAATTGATTTCCGCCCTATTTTTAGGCATAAAATGTCATATAAATCAGGCCAAAAATTATATATCAACAAATCCCTCTGAACAAACCTTCACAATATAGTTAGGAATAGGACTGTAAAGTTTGGTGTATGTAGGTGCTACTGAAGTGGAAAATCGTCACTAGGAGTGTGAGAAAAAACTCATTTTGAGAAAACGGCCTTTAAAGATTTGTATGGCAAAATTCCACTAATTTCTATTGAAAGCCATGAATTACAGACAAAATATGCTTTAGGTCCAAGTAAAATCAATGTATCACACTGTTTAACATCCAAAACTCATCATTGCTTCATCCATCACTGATCATAACATCCAAAACAACACTTCAACAGTCCATCACACAGGTGAAAGTTTCTGCCTGAGGAACTCACAACCACTTTAGGATCCCACAATTACAGATTTGGTAAGTATTATATAGTAATTATATTATACAAAAACTGAAATGTGTTGTGTAATGTAATTGTTTTGTATATATAGCGTGTAAAGTATAGTATTATGTGATGCATGTATATAATGTCAGAGCGCGTCACGTGATGATTCTGAACGAATCACGTTGTCAGAAATTGACATCAGCCAATGAGATGTGCATTTCGAGTTAAATCGCTGGTTTTACTTTCAAGATTGGTTGCTGATAAACAGGAAATGACCATATTTGGATCAGATAGCGTTGCAAAGGAGAGAGAGAGCTTTTTCTAACGGTGTGTGTGATGACAGGGTGCAGATCGCGACCGCGGAGCAGAGGGATGATTTAGAACGCCAACTTTTGATGAATTTATGTGAAATCTACACACGCAAACAGACAAAGTGTAGTAAAATAAATACCTAAATGTGTATTTTGGACTTTTTTTCAGCACAAGTCTGAAAGAAGACATGTTATTGAAGACAAATAGCCCAAAATCTCAAAATTGACCAATGAAAAAAAAACGATGTTTGTAGCCTTACTACACTTTGTCTGTTTGCGTGTGTAGATTTCACATAAATTCATCAAAAGTTGGCGTTCTAAATCATCCCTCTGCTCCGCGGTCGCGATCTGCACCCTGTCATCACACACACCGTTAGAAAGCTCTCTCTCTCCTTTGCAACGCTATCTGATCCAAATATGGTCATTTCCTGTTTATCCTGTTCGTAACACTCTCAATTGTTCAACTAACTTGTCAAAATGCATAAATTTAGCATTTTACGTTAATGGCACTCATATCATATCAAATTTAATGATTTATTTTTTTATTTTTGGGAGGCTTCCTCACAGGATGCTTCTTGCACAAGGTCATCTTATCCTATGATGATCAAATGATGTTCTTTGATGTTTCTGATGTTCAAATTTGTGATTTAAAAACTAAATTAGCAAATTCTTTCTTCCCTTGATAATATATTGGAAGATGCATAATTTTCCTGTATGCTAATGCTATACAATTTTGACCTGCACAGTGGGAAATTCAACAGAGAATTAACAGAGCCCATTAATTTAAGAAAATATTTTTTATTTGGACACAGATGGACAATAAAATAATTAAACACCATAAGTAAATTGTAACAGCACTGCACATAATATGAATATGAACATAAAACAAGAATAAAATAACATTTTAAAAGAAATAAAACATTTTATAATTACTAATAGTCAGTTGCATAAATTAACAAGCAAATATTTACACTAAACAGTTTATATGTTCTCCAGTCTAATGTCAATATAGAGGTTATACAGCATTTCATGGGTATCATAAGGATGTTATTCAGTGGTGTAAAACAGCAGCTAATCCAGATTCACACTGAGCTTCTCTGACTGCTGGGCCCTGTAAAGATCAGAAACGTTTTATTGAATGTATATAAAATTAATAATTTCAAAAACAGTTTTTTATTTTTAATTGAACATACAGCTAAACTACAAAAAAATACAATAACATCTTTTCAAGAACCCTCCTGATTAACTTCTGGGTGAATTTAGACTCTTGATTCAAGCATTTCCGCTCTGCACTCTTCAAAGTGACACTGGAAATAAAAAAATGGAAAGATGAGCTGAATGCGGTCAAGAATGTTAAGATAGCAGTATGATCATTAATGTGTAAATATCCATGTAAAATCATTGCTTTTGTTCTTAGTCTTACATAATCTCTTGTTTTCCACAAGACGGACTTGGAGGCATGATTTCAAACTTCTCAATGTTCTTCCTTAAAACCACATCCACTCCTTTGTCAGCACAGAAGCACCTGCCTTTGTGAATCTTGTTCTGCCCTGGAAGAGAATTTTTTTTTAGGATTTTTTAGCTGCAGAACAATATAAAAACTAATATTTAGAAGAATCAATAGTACATTAGGTCTTAATAAGCAACACTCACCGTGTACTTCTGGAGCAAGCAGACAGACCAGAAAAACAATAACTGCAGCAGTCTTCATTGTGTTTAAGGTTTTGATGATTGTCTAAGGCTGTTATTATACTGAAGAAGATTAGCTGCTTATATAGCCATCAGAAGATCAGGGGTTTAATAGCACGGGCACAGTTCCCAGTTTCACTTTCACAAGCACAGGAGTTTCGATTTCCCATTTCTTTGAAATGCCTTTGCTCAAAGCTTTGGATATGTGCTGGTCGCTTGTCATTTAGTGTCATGATTGTTCTTGGCAATGAGGAAGAGTTTGTTTTATCACAATTTTGAAAGTTGATGTGAATTCTTTCAAATGCTCTTTCAGCACAAGATAAATTTAGAAACCAAATGTAATACATTTCTGTTCAAGTACTGAACCACCCATATTATTGACATTCATCCATAATTATAATATTATTTGTTCAAACAAATGTCAGCAAACAATCACATGTGCATAAATTATTAAAATATTTAAAGTGCAGTGATAAACAAAGGAACAATGTTGTGATGATGAAAATCAGTTCCCTTTCGTTGTCACTTTGAGTTACGTCGAATGACGACGAAATGGAGTTCGCTTAGAAGCCTCTCATTTTCGAAAGAAATAAAACGAACCAATGGCAAGGAAATGCCATGGGTCTGCGGAATTTGCATGGCGTAACTCCGCCCCACCACATGGGTATAAAAGGAAGGACGCCACAATATGTACACTGGGGTTCCCTCCGTGGAGTGTTCTGTGGTAACACTTCTGTGTCCCCTGAAGGGTTGGTCAAAATCCCTTGCCTCTTCAAATACATATATAATCATATATCATTTTGAATGGTTATATACTTCCTTTATAAAAATCAATAATCAAATATATTCATTATCACATAATAATTTTTATATTCTTTGTGCCTGTGAAATTATATTTTCTTAAATGCATGGATGCAAGTAACCAGTTTCTTTTAGGTGCATTCCAATCTTACTTTGAGATTGCACGTAGTACACGCAGGACACGAAGGCCACGTAACCCACAAGGCCGTTTGTCTCTTTCTCTGGGATCAGTAGAAAGGTTAGAGGGTCCTAAAGGCAGCGTGGACACATATGATCCTTCGTTGGACATATGGTCAAGCTATATTGAGCGTTACTATCAAACTTTAATTGTTGTATTAAAATGTATTCTTTCCAGTATATTTCCTTCCTTGGGAGTAAATGCCAGTGATCTGTTTTTCTCCCAAACGAGTGAATGTTTTAGCATTATGTTTTGGTATACTTAACTGATAATAAGGAGCTCAGACTCTCTTCAGCCTTGATGGGAGCTGTTATTTGCTAGTGTCTGTTATTTGTGTGTGTGTGCGTATGACATTCTATGTAGGTTCTGGACGGTCGGACCAGACACCCCGGCGCCCTTCTCTAACCTGCGAGGCCACCACAGACCTAAATCTAATGAGTGGACGACAACTATCTTGACTAATGGCGATAGGCACCCCTATCTCCTCACATGTGTTAAATTGTTTAGGCTCTTAATGTTTCTTAGCCAATGAGAATCATTCAACCTGTAAGCAATGACGTAGCTTAGACCTTGGAAATGGTATAACTGCTGTGATCTTTGTAACTGTAAGCGGGGCGGCCTACGAACTCCTGTGTGAGTCTTGAAGCTGACTTCTGCTGATGAAAATGCAAACTATCTTCAGTAAAACTTTTCTTTAATTTTTTATAATTCTGACTCCGGGTCTTCATTCTTCATATCTGGTTCTGGGTCTTTGACTGTACACCCCTTACAGTTATGGTGGAGGATGCGCTGGCAATTATTCTCGGTGACACCCCTGGCAAATCAACAAACAAGGTAGTAAGCTTTTGTTAATTGTTAGGGCTGTCTGACTGGAAGAGATTTTGAAGGAGAGCGGGAGAGCTTCACTCCGATGAGGCGAGTGAAGCTTCACTCCGATGAGGCGAGTGAAGGAGTAAGTTAATTATACTGCTGACAGTATAAGAAGTCGCTGAGAGCGTCGTTAAGGGTAACGGCAGCAGACAGCGCAAGCGAAGCGTGCTCTGTGGGGGCCCCGCTGGGCATTACTGGTGTAGCACCACCCCAGCAGAGCACGTCCCTGGGCTAGAGGTCCAGTGGCACCGTAAACCTGCTCAATCTCTTCCATCTCAGATAGGGGATCCCCGAACTTAGTGAAGTGAATCAGGCAGTTAGGATACTAACAATAACAGGGTTGTTTGCCAGGGATGCATCAGGAACAATTCCGAGAGAAATTTTTTAAAAGTTGTGACCCAAATTGGCATGGACCAGTATATGTAACTGTGATTTTGGAGTATACTTTGCAGTTTCATCACGCAGAAGCCAAGCTGTGTTGTGCAAAGATCGCCGCCTCCATTTCTGCAATAACTTCAGGTGAGTATGAACTATGATTAAGATATGAAAAAAAAAAAAATGAAAAAAAATGTAATAACTTAATCAGTAACCTGAAGAGTCCTGAAACAAATAGTGAGACAGGAAAAGCAAACGCTGTAAGCAGCTGTGCTCTAAAGCCCTCACTTTAAATAAATTTGCAGAAATGATTAAGTAAATGGTAGTCAGGATTTTGATTCTGATTGGAAATTTAAACAACTTGACTGGCTACAAACAAACAAAGAAACTGAAAAATTAAAATGTTTAGCCTCGTATTGCTTACGGTGATTACAAGAAGCAAGTGAAAGAAATTCTGGGTCTGGGATAATTTCCCTGGACAAGCGACTAAAGTTAAACAGGCACTTTGTGAAAACAACTTAGAATATTTTGCAGCTTATGAAAATTAATGTTCTGCCAATAATAATGATGAAGATTATGATTGGGCTATTATGATTAAATCCGCCACTGGTGGACTGTAAAAGAATACAGAGAACTGCTTAATCAGTGGCTCTGTTTACATTCCTGAATGGGACACACACTGCTTCAAGGGCGTGCTTGTTGGAGCCGTTGAGGCTGACACACGAACCCTTTTGAAGAAAAGATCTATAATACTAATTTTTAGTGAATTGATGAATACAGGTTGATGTAAAATTAATGACTCCAACAAATGTGAGTTGCAAAATATATCAAAGTAACTTAAAGGATGATTGTGTTGTAATTAAACATTTTAAAAAGGTTTTAGATGATATAGAGAGACTAATCTCACAGATGATTTACAATAACTGCAAAAGTATCACAAGCAGAGAGTGCTTGCCTCGTCAAACTTAGTGTGAATCCTAATTGGAGATTGATAAACTCCAAGAGAAAACTGAAGTCAAATATTAAACTATGGTTGAGAACTTGACAATTAAAATTGAGATTGAGAAATGTGAAACGTTATTGAGAACTAGAATAATTATTTTTATGTAAAACAAATAAGCAGAAGCCGTACTGAATTAACAGTTGCTAAATGCTGATTAAACAAACAGCTTGAAAAGTTGACCATGAAAGAACTAGAAGCTGATGTTTAGTTTTCAAAAGATAAGTTTGTTATTGGCTGTAATGAAACAGTTTGCTTATCTGAATCTGATGTGTGCTGTGGCTGAAACTGCCAGTGCAACAGACTCAATCTGAGTGGAAATTTGTAATGCCTAAATTTCCTGATGTGTGGGCAAAAGACAAATATAAATAATATGTTTATTTGAAACCGTATGTAATATCTGGCAAAGATGCCTTAAGCTGGGATAGAGTTAAAAGATGGTAGATAAAGTTAGACGTTCAGAGTGCAGTGTACCAGTCCCTCCCTCATTCAATGTCTCTCTCTCTTCAATGTCAGCTAAAAGCTGTAAAACTGAATGACTTTAAAGAAGTCTTTAAAATAATAATGCAGATCTTAAACGATAGAAGACATTTTATTTTATTTTAGGACCAGTAACTTCTTTGTCTCATTTAGTCTCCACCATTCAGGACCAATGGCTCCGGCTACAGATGAAGTACACTGAATGTACGGTTGTGATCTAAATTCACTGAGTATAATCCAAGTAGCTAGGTTGCTGCTTTTAAGATAGTTAATGGATTTAAGTGATTAAATACTGTTGTTATTGACCTGTCTCCCTATGTGAACACTATTAGGCAATCCGAATGGCTCTGGTGACTCTTGAACGTGCCTTTCCTAAGCTCTAGAAAACAGCTGAGTTCTGTTGAAGCAAACAGCCTGTGATGGGAAAGAGCGGTCACCAGTGGGCACGAGTGGCCATCTCTATGACGGGTAAGACCTTCTATTGGCCAGACAGGGGGCAACCCAAGCCAGAGTGGATCACGTAAAGTCACTGGGCATCTCAAGATGGAGGTGTTTATGTGAGAAAGGTATGAGAGTGGAGCGGATGACTGTGAGGCCAGCAGCATCCTTTATCGTTAGGGCGGATGAGCTGTGAGGAGTTACAGGCAGTCTGACCCAGAAACGTGAGTGTTCCTCTAATACCAATCACAAGAAACCGCATTAGTTGTATGGCTTGTTTTTTATAGTGACAAGCGTCTGCAAATATGCCAGGGGAAAACACCCTGATGGAGATTATAGATAAAGGGCTAACAGGAGTGGGCTTTCAAGAGCCAGCTGAGGCCATGAAGTGATTCCCATTAGTTGTTGTGGAGACAGTAGCAAAACTTTTTATGTACTGGTTTGCCTTATGGGCAAGGAAAATCATAGTGTTGATTTTGAACTAATAGGTCTATGACATAGTTTTAACTCCTGAAGGTCGTTAGACATGGTGGTGGCTAAAGATGAAGACAGCTTTTGATTTAAGAAAAGTCTGGATAACAAAGGTGAATGGTCAAAGATTATTGTAACGAATTTAATATTAAATTTTATATAAGTTACAGCCTTAGAAGGCTGTTGAAAAAGATTATTTATTTATAGTGAGAGAGACTGCTTGAGCGGAGGAAGGGATGGTAACTGTGTCTGTCTTTCTGTCATCGGCCTGCTAGAGCAAGCTGAAGCAAAATAATGATAATGAAACAAAACAACCCAGCTGACCTCGTTAAATTCTAATGAATAATGAACAAGACATGCTTTGAAACTGGTTGGGAGACCATGTAAAATTAGGTATAAGCTACCGGAAAATGGGAAGTTTAAAATCTTATTTAAAATTTAAATCTTTTAGCAATAATATAAAGAAAAATGAACATTGAAAATGAAC